TTCCCTACACGACGCTCTTCCGATCTCCCCAAAACCCCAAAACCCCAGTTAACAAAAGTTAAAGAATATAATGAATTTACTTAATTTTATTTAAAGGTGAAAAAAATTAAATAATTATAACCAATTTAGGTGATGAAAAGTCTCAAAATCTCAGAAAATGCGATTAAGATATATTTTCTCTAAAAATAATCACTGTTATTACGAGTTAGATTAATATGTAAACTATGGCTACTATTGCTATGAGTTAGCTTAAGATTAGTGCGGTTATTAAGAGTAGATATGAGTATGATTCGTATTGTGAATCTATACATTTTCCATCATGTTGTACATTTGAATTGTGTTTTGAGTATTCTATGACTACTAACTTACTTTTAGCTGTTGTATATTAACTTGTAGAGTTGGTACCTATTAAGAATTCTTTAGTTTCTGAATTTTTAGTTTAGCCTCCTATAATGTTTGACTAACCAGCTTTGATGTTGAATCAAATCTATCAACTAAACTATCAAATCTAGATTACTCTTGCTTTAATTCCTCCCTCAATATCTCTTTTTATGCATCAAATTTTTTACTCATTTTATGAGGAGATTAAAGATATCTTAATTTCTCTGATAAACTTGAATCCTTCGGAGAGATATTTGATTGACTACTGCCATCTTTAATCGGAATATTGCTTTGACTTCCTCCAATTAAATTGAAATTGTTATATTATAGCATTTGATTGATCTGATCTTGAAAACTTAGAATAGATTATTTTTAATTTAGACTTAATGTAGGTGAAACACTGGAGTGCTTTTCAATTATTTCAAGTAAGTCAATTTGAGGCTAATAATTATTAGATTGATGCTTATCTAATTTAAGAGTTTACAATTGCCTTATTTACATCTCTGAAAATCTATTATTGCTTATAGTTTCATTATTGCTTTTACTAGATTTCTACAACTATAATTATGTTTCTTGTTCATTATTTTTCTTTTTATAAGGTAGAAAAGGACTTATTTAGCTCTATTATATCTCTTTTTCGCTTTGAACTGGCTAAAGATTAATCTAGCTCTTTTATTGATTTTAATTTATCATTTTGGACCCATTCACTTTGGTTCTTTAATCATTATTGAGTTGTACTGTTAAATGTTATGAAAAGGATGCTTTATTATCAGGTTGCTTATGTTATACTTGAGATTTCTTAGGGGATTTAGAGCTCTTTTAGCTATTGGTGTATTAGTCCTCTGATACATAGAAACTATCAGATGGTATCAGAGTTTTTCTGTTCTTATTTTTCCCACTGTTTGATATTGAATGTTTAGAGGCATCTTCATAATTTTATTTATCAGGAATAAATAAGTCATCAGAGACTAGTTCTTCGATAGAGTAGTTTTTCTTATTCAAATTTAAATCTTTAAGATTTTTTAACTTTGAATTGATGTTATAATTTTCATATATTTTATTTAGAATGTGTAGGCTTTGAGTTAAATCTTGTTTTTACTGATATTCATTAAAAACTTAGCTTAGTGAGCTCTTCATTGAAGAAATTGAGCTTGGAGTTTTCCTCATTTCTGTATCAGGCTATGGATTAAGTTTATTAACATCTGATAGACTTGGATTCAATGTTGAAGATCGTTTTCTTTGGCTGTCATTCTGCAATTTAGGCTTGTAAACATAATTTTCACTGATACTTTATCCATTTATGCTAATCTTAATTTTTTCGTCAGAAATTTTAGGTTACACCTTTCTGCTAGATTTTTCACTGTCATTTGAAATCGATTCTTGTTCTTGTTCATCAGACTCTTCTCCTTCATAGTATGAATTTTCCTCTTAAATTTCATCCATTCTATCATCATCATCTTCTTCAGAATCCTCTAATTCATCATTTATTTGAAGTTCTTCCTCATCATCTTCAGTAAAAGTTTCTTCCTCTTCAATAATACTTACAAGATTAGGATGTAGTTATGTCTTTTGCTATTTCAGTTTATTGCTCTTGTTAGCTATGCTAAGCTATTTAGAAAGCGAACTTACTGTAATCTAGGTATTACTTTTATGCAAATGCGATGAACTCTTTTTAGTAGCACTAGTCTTAAAATTTGTTGGTCCTCTTAGTGTACTTTGCTTCCTTCTTGGAGATCCATATATATTCATATCTTAACTTTTGATCCTTTTTAACTCCTATCTTCGACTATTAAAAGTCCTTGTCCTCCTAAGAGTTTCCTAGCCACTTACTTAAACGTTTCCATATCTGTCACCATTATCTTCTATATTCAACGACTTCTTTTACTTAGAGTTTTTTAACATTATTTTCTCTCTTAACATGGCATCTTCTTTATCGTTCTCCAGAGAGTTATCTGTAAGTTTTAATTCATTTCCCTCAAGTTTCTTTGGACTAGTGTTCACTTATTCTTCTTTGAAGTCTTCATCTAAAGTTCTTTTTTATGTGTTTGATATAGGACTAGCACTGATACTGCCCATCATAGGGGAAGTATTATGAACCATAAGTTGGTTAGTAAAGTTGAAAAAATTCTCATTCCTAGGATATTAATGACTTACATGTTTTTTACTTGATGATAAATTATCTATCTCCTCTGAACTAAGTATCCTAAGTGACTCAGTGCTTGTAATATTTTTCCATAGAGTTTTCGGATTATAACTTTTCTTCTTTGACGCATTTGTATAATTTGCAGCATTGGAATTCGTTAAAATAGTCAATTAATGCTGAAGCTTTTCTTACTTTTTCCTCTCTTCGAGTTAATTAAGAAGTCCGCCAGTATCCATAAAAGAGCCTTAGAAGTTAGTAGTAGAGACAAGCGATTAAAGTTTTCTGGGGCTCTTTTACCTATCATATGAACTTGAAGATTCCAATTCTTCTACAATACTAACATCCATTTTTTAGTTCCATACTTTGCTAGAAAAGTCTTTCTAAAGAGAAGGTCCTTAGTGCATGGTTTTACTTTGCTTAATTTTACCTGTAGCAAAAGTAGTTAGTTCTAAAGGACTCTTGGTCTTGGTTACTTAGTTATGAGTAGGAGAATCAATAACAGCGAGACTGTTTTCACTGAAAACTCTTGCTGGCATCATTTTTGCATTTTGTTTTAACAATGATTCTTACTCAATAATCTTGTTGAGGATTGATCTTCCTCTGAAATAAGATTCATTAATGTTTTTCTTCCTCTCGAGTTTCGAATCTTTCATCAGCCCAAATATTTTAATCACTTCAGAAGCTAGCAATGCTAGTTAAGTTTCTGTGCTTTTTATTATACTGACATTGCTATCATCACCTCTTGTTGAGTAGTAATTGGCTAACTCCAGTTTAATTTTCTTGAATTTCATCACATTTACATATATTTCAAATTTTATGTTCTGTACCTGTCTTGCCTTGTGCCAATGAATGTTTCCTTTTTACCTAATATAGAGTTCAGCTTTAAATTCTAAAGTCAAGTTTACAGTTATTTATTTCTATAGCCAGCCATTTTAAGCATATAATAGATCAGTGATGCACTTATGTATCTTTTTAATTTTTCCTTTCTGTTGTTTGATATTATATTAAGAACCTATCTTATTGATTAAATGATTAAATCTTAATTACTCCTGATTCTTCACTTGTTAGCATAAGTTATCCATGAATTAATCCGATTACGATAGCACTTGATAATTGTCCTCCGATAGCTGTGAATATCATCATATATCTTCCAAGATTAGTAGTAGGATAGAAATCACCGTATCCAACTGTTAAAAATGTAACTACGGTTAGCCATACTGAATCTCTATATTATCTATAAGGCAATTAATTAAGAAAATAACTCATAAGCACTTACGAAACTGCATAAAGATGATCTTCCTCGTAGCAAGGGATATAATCAATGCTTGCAGATCTCTCGTTTAAATATAAAACAAAGGAATTTATGAACAGAAAAAAAATGATTCCAAACACAAGACCTTTTACAGGGTTCATTGTCAACCATACTTTTATTAGAAAGGCTGTTGAATAATCTATCCCTCTTAGTGCCCTGAAATAAAGATTTTAAGTATAAATCAAGCTTACGTGATAAATCTACCTTTGGAGGAATTCAAGGGTGACTTATAAGCCATGAATCTTATCAAGGTAAAGAATTTGAATTACATAAGCACTCCAATAAACGACTGAATAAAAATCAAATGTTTATGAGTTCTAGGCTCTATAATTTATGGTGATATTTGAATAACAAGTTTACACAAATCAAAGAATGGAGGAAGATGAATACTAAATAACAGTGCCTCTATTATTATATATTTTAGCTCAAACCTATTGCATACACTTGCTATAGAAAATTTATTAAAAAATTCTGATTACAATTTAGAGGGTAAATTTTCCTGATTCTTGATATTTTTGCCTTTATATGATAGTAAAGTAAGGATAGAATAACTAAGGCAGTGCAAACAATAGTATGAAGAACTCTAATTGTGTTACATATCAGGTAGATGCTGATCAGATGATTCAATTTATCTTCTGATAGAAGCACGAATTCATATTCAGTCACATTGCTATAATAGATCTCTGACTATAAAATAAAGAATGGGGATAATATTTACGTCTAGAATGAATAAAAAGAACCCGAAAATCACAAGAATTAACTAGAACTTAGCAATCCTCTGAAGTTTATTATTTTAACTTGTGAGAATCGAATTTATGTTCATAATTTCGATGTCCTCCTCTTTGAATTCCTGAGTGTAAATCTTATTGTATTTATTAAGTGTGAGGAAACTCGTATACTTTCTAAATTGCACTTCTTCTTACTTTGGTTTTTCATCTATTTCCTTATCATCATCTTTGTCTGAACATAGTCTGGCTGACGCTCTTGAATCATTCTAGCTATTGTCTACTGATGTTTATTGATTAGATTCTTAGCGATGATGATGAATTTTTTAGCTGTTCTTAAAATTAAATCTGTTTTTATTCAAAGCTGGAGAGGAGTTATCTGAATACTCCTCCTCGATAGTGGCAATATTCTAATTTTTTTATATTTAAAATCTGTCTTGCAACTCATCCAACATTGATTAACTTTACATAGGCTGCATTGTTTCCTATCTCTGGTTACTGCTAGAAAGGGGTCTAATGACAACTACTTTACTAGCTGAATGAGGTTCTTTATCAAAAGGTCTTTTTCCAACTAGGCTTGAGTAACTAGGATCACCAGGAGAATCCTTAGAGGGTGACTTACTTTTGCTTAATCCCAAGAATTTTGTGTCCACTGTTAAATACCTTCCAAAACTTGAAGTCTTTTGCTCAGTACTTTTCTAAGACTCAAAAGTACTCTTATGAGCTACATGATTAGGACTTTATGATTAAGATCTGTTTGTTTCCAGTTTAAAAGTTATGTTTGGATTTTTTATTAGTAGCTGATTTAAAGATTAGAAGCTCGCTGGGTTTACAAGTTACTCATATGGTTTTGAAATTTAACTTAACTGTCTATTATTTGAATTGGTGCTCATATTGGCTGGATCATGCTCTATGTTTTAAGATTTATCTCCAGCTCATTGATTAATAGAATTATCAATACCTGTATTTTCTCGATTTGTATGACCTTACAAAACGGACCCATTTCCATCAAGGTTACTAGTTTTCAATCGTTTAACAGTTGATGCTTTACTCAATCCAAATAGCTGAAAGAGATTAGATTTATATTCTTCGAAGTTAAGCTCACTGTCAGAGTTATACATAAAGTAGAGATACTCCTCTTCATCTTCAATTATTTAGCTTTACTTTTATTCAAATTTCGCTTTGTCAACAGCGCTCTTCATTTCTTTAAATATGACAGGATTATTAATGCTCTAATCAGTTGAGTGATGCTTTGGTCTTCTTGATGCGATGCTTTCATTTTCATCACTAGATTTTACTTTTTCTGGATCAGCAGAATTCTATACACTTGTCACATCTGAATTTTTGCGTTCCTAATCAGTTATTTTCAATTGATTGATTGTTAGTTATTTGTCAACAGGATAGGAGTTTTTAAATTTCTTTGATCTGCTAAGAACCTGAGAAGTGGACAAACCACCACTACCACCGATAATATCAGTCGTACTTGACTGAATTTTTTCATGCTAACTTTGAGCCATTTTCCCCTTTCTGAGTTAAGCTATGTGGTTTATGTTTAACTTACTCATCATAGAGGTTTTAACTTTATCCATAAGTTTCTTCTTGTTTTTCCTACGCTTTATTGTATTTGCTCTTGCAATCTATTTGTTGGGATTGTATTATCTCAAAATTTCTTTTAATTAATTGAATTCTCTAAAAAATATCACTAGTAAGTATTGATCTCGCTTAATTGTTGGAAAATAATTAGACTTACTTAACATTCTCCTAAAAGTTATAATCTATATTTTGCAACTCACTGTTTCGAGCAGCGTTCGCCCTACTCTGCATGTTAAATATCTATAAATTATATGAAGAGGGTATTATGAGATTACCCCTTAGGAGGCTTAGGCGATACTCATTTTTTTAATTCTAATAATTCTTCACTCTCATTTATTATTTTAAATCAGATTTTATCTTTTACATCCTCAGTAGCGTTTAAATTAAGCAAATATTCAACTATAATAACCATTTGAATATTCTCTTAATCTCATGGGGTTTTGGGGTTTTGGGGTTTTGGGGTTTTGGGG